TTTACCACCAAGGTATGCCGGCCCTTAGGATTATCCTGCTATTATTGTGCTTCAAATTCATAGTGACTTCGTTGGGCCATTTGTTGATTTCCTCTTTTGGAAGTTTGCATGGTGCCTTCTGTTACTATGAAAGCTAGTCCCCAGGGAGGATGCATTCAGGTCAGTTCCACCTTAGGGGCCTCTGGGCCCTACTTTAGAAGTACATGGTATCTTCCCTCTAGCCCTACATTTTCTGGGACTTTTATCATGAAGACAGGTTGGATTTTGTCAAAGGCTTTTTCTGCATCTACTGAGATAATCATGTGATTATGTCTTTTATGCCCATTTATGTGGTTTAGTACATTGGCTTGTATTCATTGAACTATCCTTGAATATCAAGGATAAAGTCAACTTGGACATGGTTTCTTATCTTTTTGATGTATGTCTATATTCTGTTTGCAAGTGTTTTATTGAGTATCTTTGGGTCTATACATCAGTAATATTGGCCTGTAGCCTCTACCTGCCTTCTTTGTGTATTTTACTGATACTGTTTTGGTAGGTGGAAGTTGGAGTTGCTCCTTCCCTTTCTTTCTCCCTTTCTCTCTGCCCCTTTCTCTTTGTCTCTCCCTCCCTCCTTCCCTCCCTTCATCCCTCTCCCTTTTCTCCTTCTTTCTTGTGAGTAGTTTAAACAGGATTGATCATAGAACTTTTTGAAAGCCTGATAGAATTCTGCTGTGAATCCACCTGGCCTTGGACTTATTTTTATATTATTTCACTCTTACTATTTCTTCCTATTGACTGGGTTGGATTTTGTTTATATATATATATATATATATATATATATATATATATATATATATATATATATATATATATAGGTTTTTTGTGACAGGGTTTCTCCATGTTGTTCTGGTGTCTGTCCTGGATCTTGCTTTGTAGACCAGGCTGGCCTCAAACTCACAAAGATCCTCCTGGCATTGCCTACCGAGTGCTGGGAGTAAAGGTGTGTGCCACTGCTACCCGGCTGTTCTTGTTTTTATAGCTTTTTGCATCATTATGTCATTTATTTTTATTCTTTCTTCCATGTTCTTGTTGAGGATCTGGTCTATACCTCCACTTGATTTGGCATTCTCCCTCATCTATGCCTTACAGTTTGACTGCTTTTTTCATGGTGTCCTACATTTCCTATGGGTTCCTTTCCCATTTAAGAAAAATGTTTCTGCATATTTGATCTAGATAATTTATTTTCTTTTCATACCCTAATACTCTATCTTCTACCTGATTCATTCTACTTATATAGGTTTCCTTTGAGCTTTTAGTTGGTCTAATTGGGTTTTCCAGTTCCATCTTCATTTCAGCCTGAGTCCACTTCAGTGTTTCTATATCCTTATTGAATTTCATTCTCAAGTCTTGGATTGTTTTTGTCACTTACATGAGCCTTATGTTTGTGTTCTCTTGGGCATCACTCAGGTGTTTATTTACCTTTAGCTCTTTCTCCTTGATTTCATTGAGCAGCTGTTTCTTTGTGTTTTCTGTAAATTCTTGGATGGAATTTATGATTGTTCTCCTAAAATCCATGTAGTGGTTTTCTTCTTGGTAATTCTTATTGGCAAAATTTCTCAAAGACTGGTAGATTTTGTAGAGAAGATACTTGCTTGATCATTCCTATTGTTTATGTTTTTGCAATGAGAACTTCTGTAAGACTGATAGGGACAGAGTAGGATTTGTAGTGGGGTTCGGCATAAATGTCTGAAATTCTCTGGGTGGAATTAAATAGGTGGACAAAGGAGACGGTGATGGTATATATTCTGTGCCTCCTGGCCCAAGCCTTGATTGTGAGGATAAATCTGGAAATAATTGCTGGAAAGATTGTGTTTGGTATGGAAGGGTTCCATGGGTCAGGAAGTAGGTAGAGTGGGTCCTGGCAGAGGTGTATAAATAGGCTGCTGTGCGGGTAGGGATGCCTAGTCAAAGCTAGGACAATTGATGTGGGGCCTGTTATAGATCTGGCAAGTTCAGGAGAAAGTGTGGAAGGGAAGGATCAGGGAAAGTCACCAGAGTAGATCCTAGAGAAGTATGTGGGAGATCTGACTGGGTCAGGAGATTTGATGGGGTGCAGAAGGAATCTGTGGTTGCTGGCAGAGAGTGCAGGTCCTGGTAGAACCCTAGACATGCTACTCATGTTTTCATGTTCTTATTGTTAACTCAGTTCTCTTTCCTAATTATCTGAATTTCTCTTTAACATGTGCAAGCATGTCAGGTATTTTGTTATTTCTTTTTAGTTTGCTTGTTTTTCAGCTTAAGTAGAAATTTATTTAGCAAACCAAGGTGATAATACACTCCAGAGAAATATTGGAATGTTCTAACCCAAAGAAAAGGGAAATTAGTCCCATAGGTTCTGCATTGTAGGTTTTTTAATAAGTTTTAGGGCTGGGGATGTTGCTTAACTGATAGAGTTCTTGCCTATCCTGCACAAAGCCTCAGATTTGATATCCCCAGCACTACATAAACCAGGCATGGTGGCACGCACCTGTAATGCCACCACAAAGGGGGAAATGCTTTAAAGAGAAAGAATAACTATTTAGAAATGAATATTAATAGGAGCAGATAAGCAATGAAACAGAAAAGGAAGGCTGGGGGGAATACTTAGTGTGAGACCCCAGTACTGACCACAATTCTCACATGGGAAGTTGTTCTCATAAGCAGGAAGAAAATGAAAAATAAAGGCAACACAAAGTTTGCTCCTTTCAAGTTGACAGCAAATATCAACAAAAATAACTTTACTTGGACTTAAAACAATATTTTGGTTGGCTAAATAAATCAACCCCAGTGTAATATTCCCAATTTTTATATTAATCAGGAAAAGGGCACATCCCTTTTGCTCCTGCTCTGTCACAAGACTTTCTTACACAAGGCAAAATCTTTGTTCTAAGAGACAGGGAGGTGAGAAATATCTGAGATAGGAGCATGCCCAGATAAAAGAAATAAATGAATCCAAGGACACTTAAGACTGAGGAGATGGAAGAGTTAATACCCAACATGGTTTAGAGCAGTGTTTACCAAGCATCTAAGCAGCCTGCTTTGTAGTTGTCCAAGTGAATGTGTAACCACAGTCCATGGAAGGTTCTCTTTGAGACTTGAGGGAGTACTCAAGTTCTCAGCTCTACTTTTGATAGTGTACAGAGAATCACCTCAAAAAATATAAAAGAAATACATTCTCTTAAAAATTTCCCATGGATCCTCTTGTTACTCACATATTTCAGTTGCTTACTTGAGATAATTCTTGGAGATTCATATGCTATTGATCTTCATTAATACAATCAAGAATCAGTGAGATCAAGAATATTTGTGTTGAGCTAAGGTGTCAAATTAGCGGCATCCACAGATGGACCTCCAGCTTCTCAAGGGACAAAAGCAAACTAACTGGAAAAAAGCTACCCTTGAAGGGGGGTGACTGTGGGAAGGCACTGAAGCTTCAGAGTCCAGAAAAGAAGAACATCAGAGGTTTTAGAGAGTGGAACAGAGGGAGAGGAAAAGCATTCCAGTGGTGAGCATAATATGGTAGCCTGGCAGAGGGCAGGGGATTAAAGCAAAAGAAAGAATAATTAACCTAAGTCTCAGTGACACACAGACACCTCTCTTTGGGGGCACTGGGCAGGCACTAATCACTTTTAAAATCTGTTAAAAATCATCATTACTCTTTTTTGTTGTTCAATTTCTTTATTAAATTCTCTTTGAAAACATTTTTCCAAATTGGACTGACTACCATATATGGATCATTCTGTAAAACTTTGTCTCTGAGTGATCCCTGCATTTTGTGTTCCTTCTTTAATGGTTTAATTGTTCTTTGTTGATATAGCACATATTGAAGTAGCTAACTGAAAATGAGATTATAAATAATAAAATTTTGAGTTCTAGCATATCACATGAATTTTATTTTGGTGTAGCTAAATAGAAATTTATCAGGAAAAATTGGCTTTCCTTCAAATGTTTGGATGCACTGTGCCCTTGCCTTCTGGATTCTTACAGTAGTTTCATTTCTTTTTTCTTTTTTTGTAGTTTTGTTTATTTTATTTTACATGATTGAGTGTTTTGCCTGCATGTATATGTATGTACCATGTGTGTACCTGGTGCCCACAGAGTACAGAAGAAGATACCAGATTCCCTGGGACTAGAGTTACAGATGGCTGTGGACAACCATGTGGGAGCCTGGGAATCAAACTGGGGATCTCTGCAAGAGCAGTGAATGCCATGTCTCCAATCCCTGCAGTTTCATTTCTGATCTTTTGTACATGACATGATTTTTCCACATTTCTAAGCTTGTAGCTTTCCCCAATGTTCTTTTATTTTTTATGAGCTTGTATGAGTGTATGTATGCATACCATGTGTATTCCCAGAGCAGAAAGAGGCCAGGGAAATACACCAGATCCCTTGGGACTAGAATTATAAACTAGAGTTATGCACTATCATGTGTAGATGCTGCTATTGATGCCTGAGTCCTCTGGAAGAGCATTAATGGCTGAGACATGTTTCTAGTCCATGTGTGCTCCGGTATTCTTAAGTTCCATAACAATATATGTTTGGTGAGGCTCTAATTGATTTGTGTGTGTGTGTGTGTGTGTGTGTGTGTGTGTGTGTGTGT